GTATTATTTTCTCTTCATTTTAAACAGAAAGAACCTCAAACCTGAAAGAGATATTTTTTACAAAATCCAAAAAGTGTTTGTACATGGATTTCTATTTTGATACTAGTTCACTGGATCACAGACCAATTATCTTTATAAACTGATGGTTGTCAATTGAAATTTTTTAAATAAGTTGTCAGATGTCTCACCAAATTGCATGTGAATATTGTCTGTCACAGTGGGAAACACTGTTTCAATGTTAATAAATGAGTGATTAAAAAAGGAAGCTTGAATTTTAGCATGTTAATTTTGTTTCTCTTGAAATTTAAAAGATTTTTGCTCCTTTTAGAAGTAAAATTTTACAAACATGAAAGGGACACATAATTATGAAGTGAATAAATACCTTTATTTTCATAAAAATGTAAAAATGAATGTATATAATGATCAATAGTACAAATATTTTGTATATGAGCCAGATTTTCAGCCCCTTTTTGGAGAATTCGTATTTTGTAGATTAATACATAGATTTTTTGTGCAAATGACTGTTATAAAAATATATTTAAAGTATTATGATAATTCTTAATCACTATTTTTTTCATTCTAAAGAAGTCAGAGGCATTGCTGATAGAATTAATGACAAGAGAAACAATGGTGAGATTTTAGTTTTATTCAGATCACCCACACCTGGCTGAAAGGAAAAGTACAGCCGGAACAAAGTAGTTATTATCCCAATCAGACACTGAACGTGAGATTTTCTTGGTACTTATATAACTAACTCTAATTAAAACACCATGAAAACTGTACAATGAGATCATTGTTATTCTGCAATATTGTTTCAAAATCTTAAAACCAAATGTTCTAAACATGTAGCTGGAAATCTGATCACATGGTATTTGAGAATTATTTTTTAATAGTTTCGCATAACGTGTTTCCTTGCCTAAAAATGAATTACTTCTAACATTTAAAAAAAAGTTTGGAAGTTCATACGTTTGAAAACTACTTTTAATGGAATGCTTGGTTTGTTTATTCCTTGTTCAAGGCAGATATTTCTTGACATTTATGCTGCTATTTTCCTGCTTTCAAGGATGCTAGCAAAACATTGTCATGATTGGATTACCCTGAGATGGTCTTTTGAACTTCCACAAGGCCATTCTGGCTCTCTCCAAAAGAACATCTTTCATTATGTACCACTGTGACATCTTTCATAAGGACACAAAGCTAGTGGCTAGTGTCATATACACATGTATGGATAGATGATAGATAGATAGATAGATGATAGATATAGAGATATATAGACATATACCTGCAAGTTAAGGAGAAATATACTTGCAGGTAAGCTACATTCCCTTAACTCCTGATAATGGCCATTGTTTCATACTCATATAGTTCCTTCCAAAAACATTATTAGAGATGCCGTATAAATGCTTAGCTAGCCTCTGCAACGTCCTAACCAACATGGAGTTAAAATACCACATCCCAGAAAGCACAGTAGAAAAATATTGCAATATAATTAGTACGTTTTTAAAGATAACTGTTAGTCTTCCATTCATTTTTAAATGATGGAGCTTAAAAATGTTCCCTTTCCCTGAAAGTCTCATTTCTACTTGTCAGCCCACATGTGACACTGGCTCATGTTTGCTTTATTCGTATTTCTCTGCATCATTCAAATCAAATCTACTACAATACAAATATAATGGTAGAGCTCTTATTCTCCTCTTGAAAGCTACTTCAAATTTCCTGCCATTTGGTAAAATTCCCTTAAAATGCTAGCTAACAAATTAGTGGGGTAATATGTGTGAGCGTGTGATGCATGTATGTGTGTGTGTGTCTGCACGTGTCAGAATGAAAAAGAATAAAACTGTTATTAACTTTTCTGCTTAATTGCTATCCTTTTAAATGTGTAGAAAGCTATATGCAGAATTTTATGCGACTATTCTAACAATGTGTGAATGCTAGTTAAGGTTGATATATCTTGCACTCATATATTTGGGGTGCCCATTAACAGAAAACTTTTGCTAGTAGTTTTTGCCAGCAGCAGTTTTGAAATCCCATGGTTTTCTATTTGTACACTATAACTTTAAAACCATAGCTCTTTCTGTGTCTATGGCCAGCCATTTAAAATTAAGGAGATGGTGATGCTGTACTTAATGCTCTTTCATTTTTAGGAATATGTAGACTGGTGTATAGATAAGTGAAGACAATACAGAGATACAGCAGCAGCCTTGAGCACTCATGTCCTTAAACACTGTGATAGTTAATGAGGCCTGGAATCTCACTGAAGTTTGCTGAAGATAAGCAAATTGGAATGCATCCACAAAATACCAGTCACAACGTGGTTTGTGCCAAAATCTAAAAATTAGTTCAAATTTCAAATCTTAAAGTATGTAGGAGAGTCTTCCCCAAAAGACCACTGTGCTTACAATATTTCTTATACACTTAAAGCAGTGGTCTGATACATTTATTTTTTACTTTATGATGTTGTCATTTACAGTACCCTCATTTATTTTGGAAGTTAGTGCTAATTCGATATTCTTCATACCAAATTTGAACTGCATATGTAATTCCATCCCTTCACCCTAAACTCTTTATTTTTCTGTAGGATGTTGCACCTCTCTCAACATCAAACAATGAGGAAATGTTTATTGGGAGAAATAACTATATATTTAAAAACTAAAAAATGAAAATTATCTCACTCTTGTGACATTGAGGAACCAGAAATGTTTGTGTCACTTAATTTTAAAATATTTTTCCCTTGGTGATGTGAGGAAGAGACTTTGGAAATGATAAGACTATCATATTCTAAAGTAAAAGCAGCATAATGATATAAAATCATTTTTATTTTATTATGTTGGTGTAGGAATCAATAGTTCATAGATTTTCTTCTCGTATTTTATCCCCCATTTTATCAATTTATGGCCTAATATTTATCTCTTTGAGATTTCATATTTTTTTTTTTTGGTTTTTCTCCGGTATCGGGAACCGAACTCACGACCTTGCGCTTGCCAGGCAGGCGCTTTGCCGCTGAGCTAAATCCCCAGCCCCGAGATTTCATATTCTATAGATGAGAAACTGATGCTCAGATGCCACCAGTCACCCTAAAAGAAAAATCAAATTGTGCTTCCCACAGCTCTTCACACCCTTGAAACACTCAAGTCCAGTGTTCTCCCTACAGTATCATTTGTACATGATACTATTGATTCTGAAGGCTGCTCTATGGTGAACGAGTGAGATGCTGACAGTACAAGGTGATATTAAAAGCAACTGCGTGACAAAGAAGCAAAGGAGAGAAAAGGTAGTATTCAAACAAACAGTTCTGGAACAACTGGACATTAATACGTACACACAAAAAGTAATCCAGAGCTCAGCTTTATACCTTTCACAATGAAATAACTCACAATGGGTGATATACCTACATGGAAAATGTAAAACTATGCAACTGCTAGAAGATTCAACAGGACAAATTCTGGGTGACCTGGGGCTTGACAATCACTTTATAGATATAACATAGAAAAGCACAATACATGTAAGAAAAATTAGTAAGCTGGCATTCACTAAAATTAAAACTTCTGCTCTGTAATAGACACAGAGGGAGAAGGTAAACCAAAAACCAGGAGAAAATCTTTATGAAACACATATCTGTCAAAGAACTAGTATCCAAATTATAAAAGGACTCTTAAAATGCAACAGAAAAAATATCAGATTTAACAGTAGGCCAAAGATCTGAATATATGTCTTATTACAAAAAATATATGGATGGAAACTAAGCAAGTGAAATAATGCTCAGTATCATGTCATTAGGAAATTGCAAATATCAAGGACAAAATAGCAACATACACCTATTAGAACAGTTAGTATCAAAATCATCAACAACAAATGTCATTGAAGATGTGGAGCAACAGAAAATCACATCTAGTTTTTGTAGTAATGCAACATGGGGCAGCCACTTTAAGACAGTCTGACAGGTTCTTACAAAGCTGAACATTGATTTACCACATGATCCAGCACTGGAGCTAAGGAAAGAATGGCTATGTATACTCTTAATAATTATAGTAAAATGATGGAGACCACTATCAATCAGACCTGAGCAGGACTTAAATTAATCAATTGGCTTTCCATGTTCACTTGTGGATCTGTACAAGGCCCAGGCTCCTTGTCTGGTCATGGCAGACTCATAGTAAGTGAACCTCTGTGAGTCACTAATTCCTACTAAAGCATCAAAGGAGGAGACAAGATCACAACCAAGGACACCTGGATCATATCTCAATGAGATAAAGACTATAGCCTCAGGGAACTCATTCTGGGTGGATTAATTAATACTTTACTTGGAGAAGTCCTTGAATGATTCTACCTTTATTGAGTACTCTCCTCCCTTCTTCTGATAACCAAATAAATACAGGCCACCCAGAGAAGGTCTTGGTCTTAGCCCTAAGAGAATCTCAAATTCTGTGAGAGGTCTCTGATCTTCTTGGAGCCCTGAAATCATTCCATTTGCCTCTTTTTATTTAGCCTTCACCATACACTTGTTCAGAAGATTGCGGACTTGATCAGCCTGCAACATCTAAGGGATATTATTAACCTGCTTGTAAAAGTGAGTACAGTACCAAAATCTTGAACCATAAGCTGTCAGTCTTAAAGTGTTTTACATGAGTCAGGGCATTATCTTAATCAACATGTTGAGGCTTGCACCACTAACATTCAAGATATACTGTGATCAGATTACTAACAGGAAAGAATCACTTTTAATTCCATTCACTTTTCTCAGTAACTCCATCACATCTGACTCATAATGAAATTAATGTACAAGATTAGTCATTTTCTATATGGCACTGCTAAATGAATTTCCTTTGTTTGCACACACACACATGCTTGAACTTTGGGGATGATCCTCAAATTGGGAATATAATACATGCCTTATATTTTCTTTTTAAATATTGGTGTATTCACAGAAGACATTTAGTCTACATGTTAAAAAACAAATCAACTGAGGGCACAAAGTCTAAACTTGGAGACACACATCCCACCTGTAAAATCCTGGTGGCACCTGCCGCACCACGAAGCTCTTCTCCATGTCTTGGAGGATGTCATTCAGCATCCGGACACGGACAGGGGCTCTCTCCTTGGGATCGTTGGCAGGTCTCATCTCGTCTGACTGAAAGAGTTCAGCACTCTCCCTCAGGCGGGCTGCCACGGCCAGCAGGTGATGAGCACTGAGTTGATCACCTAGTGAAGATAAATGAGCCCATCTCAGAAGGGACATCCTCAGAGGAGAAAGACAAACATTTCACGACCACAACTCTAAGCTGTAACCAGATAGACCGCTGGAAACAACGGGGACTTGTCACACACAGTTCTCTGCTTTTCTGTCACTTGACAAAATCAAAAGTATGCATTTAAATCTTCCTGCCAGAAGAAAAAGAGTCAAATCAGTTAAATGTTAATAATGTACTCATTCTGCCAAAAGCCTTGTCTCGATGGTTTCCTATCTTGTTGTGTATTACTACTGATACTATGAACAGTAAATAGGTACTTTTTGAGAAATCGCTATTTTCCAGTTTTGAACACTACATAATTATTTCATTTAATATTATCAAACCTTATTCATTTTATAGAATAGCTAAGAATTAATTAAGGAAAGCAAACTGTCACAAATCTTCAAACAAGTAAATAACAGGCAAGAAGAAGTCTCACTTTTCTGACTCAGAAATTCACTGCCATGGGGTGTCTCAAACTTGAAGGGAAAATGTGTAAAAGGAGAGATCTCTTTTAAGAATATAGGATATGCTGCTGTATGTTTATTGGGCTCTATTTTCTTTCCTAGAAATTTTCTGTCATGTTAACTTGAAATGCAACACTGAGAGAAGCTAATGGAGGGATGAAAGAATGCCAGTGGGTCCTTGACTAGGGAGAAAGTCAGGCAAAAGGGAAAGATCATAGAGGACTTCTCCAAGTGAGGTCCAAGGGTCACAACTCCCCCAAAATGCGGTCTTTATGAAAATGCCATTTCTATATGTCTAGTCATAGAGCCCAGGAATTTGCATTTAAACCTGCTATTCCAGGTATTTTAAACTTTTAGAAATGATGCAGAAATGTAATATGGTGAAAAAAGGAAAGCCAGGTTAGAAGTATAACTGATCTGCAAAATGTCTGTAATATAATGACCTTTGCTACCAACTTCTAACAATAATTTTTAGTTCTCATTTTCTTTGATAGGCTGTTTTACAGGTCAATTTCCTTAGAATCCAGCAATGTTGACAGCCAATACCTCTTTGTTAAATAAGTAAAGCTGTTCCAATACAGCACATTTAGAAAAAGCTCATAACAAAAGAAAATTATATAATGAGATAATTCATTGGAAGGTCCACAAAGATATTTACAGGCAAGCAAGTTTACAATATTTTCATAGAATATTGTAGTTTTTGCTAATATTATATATTCACATATCAAGGTACAGATTGTGGCAGAAGAAATAATATTTGAAGCTAATATGTGGCTCCCTGTGTTCTGAAGTCAATATAAATAAAATCAATGGCAGGAGTTGGAAAAGTTTTGGTATTTGATATTTTTGAAGTGCGTTCCACATTCATTGATTATCTTGTTTTATTTCCTGATAAAATGAGACTACAAGAGGATGTATTGTTGTTCATTTTGAAATTAGCTTCAAATAATTTGATGCCATTTTATGAAGGCACGGGTTTTCTTAAATTATGCTTCAAGTTTAATGCATAAAGAACTTGTGGTGAATATCTTTGCACAAGGAAAGAATAAAACAGATAAGGCACAGTTAGATTACACTGGTATTGAAAACCTGAAAAACAGAAAAAACAGCTCAACATCCTTGAAAGTCTTCCAGTTAAGAATGAAAAATCTGTTCTGATCTACCGTTCACTACAGAATTGAAGGCATTACCACTGAATCAAGTGAGACAAATTGTACCATTCTACCTTATTTAGCTGTAAATGAATTTATCTTTTGTAGTCGTGCAAATGTAGAGAACCCACAGCTTTAGGAACTAGCCAGCTCCAGAAAGGAGCCTGCTCCTGGAAACCTGCCACTCCTAACATGCAGCATGCATCACTTCAAGTGTATGTAGTTACAAATTGAGAAGTGGCTCTACTTTCAATATTCACTCAGTCATTTTGATATATAAATGATGCTCTGAAGATTTGTAGTAGCCATCCCTCTTTCAATTAGAGCTTCTTTGGCCCTTTAAATAAGATCCAGAGAGAAATGCCACGTTCCCTACCACAACATTTGTGAACCCCAAGTGAGCAATCCTTCATGCTCCTTAGGATCCCCGTTACCACATCAGCTCTGAGAGAGAGGGCATTATTATCTGTTTCTTACCTTGTTATTTTTCTAGCACTTAAAAATATGTCAAGAATTTCATTTACTCAATGAATGGTTGCATTATTTATATTTGGTACAGTGTCATAGCATCTACAACATTTTTATCTTTGTCTGCCTTGTCTTCTTAACTGAAAAGAATACCACTAGAACAGCAAGTATGTTTTGTCTTTTTATCTCCAGATGTTTACACAACAGATGTTAAAAACTGTGCTGATTGAATGTTGAATCACAATATCCTCTTTAAATTTTATTATTAGTAAATTAAACAATATGTGCAAAACTATTCCAACAGATATTTGGTGCAAAGTGAGGATCATCAAATACTATTTCCTTGGTAGAAATTAATTATACTTAGAAAATGTCTAAAAACAGTAGAAGCTATGTCAAGGTAATGATGAGTTAAACTAAACTGAATTAAAATATTTCCTGAAAATAACTGTGAGGTACAAAATTTTGGTTAAGATATCCTGACTATCAGCGAACACAGGACTGTTGAGTCTGCTATCAGTTCAGATTTTAAGTTCATTTGACCACTAGGTACCAAAAACAGTTAAGAACATCATCTGCATAATTATTATCAATGTGGACCTGAATAAATTATTTAAATACTATTCTTGAACATCCTTGGAGGAAATGGTAATTTCATTTTTAAAATTAAACTCAGGGAAGAAGTGAAAGCAAAGACTGATCTTGGAATCACCTAAAACTGAGGAACATCTCTAATGAGCTATGGAAAGCTCTGGGACTTTGGACTAAAGCATTTGAGCAAAGTCATCCCATGTGAAGACAACAATATTCACGTCTTTGATTCCTTTCCCCCGAGTCCCTACCCTCTGGAGGCTGAGTCTACTCCTTTAACCTTTCCATTGTTCTAGCATTTATGAAAAGCATGGAGCTAGATATTGTAAGAAGTATTAATATTAGCTGAAGAGGAGACAGGAGTGGAAGGAAGAAGGGATGGAGGGACACTAGATATTGATTACTGAAGTGGATTTTGAGGTCTAGGCCAACCAATTTGGCAAAGACTCCAACATGCAGTGGAGGAAACAAACCCTGCCACTAACGATACTGCCTGCCTTCCAATCAGAAGACACTGCACTGCCTCCCCTGAAGACAGCAGGATTCATGAGTGAGCTATAGCGGGAAAAGCAGGATCTTTGTAATGTGACAGATCTAGATTCAAATCCTCAATGTATGACTTACTAAATGTGCACATTTGGGTAAAACACAAAACCTCTTTGGGTCTCAGTCACTTAATCTCTAAATTTCACTTCGTCCTCAGCTCATTTCCTCCAACTGAGGTAACGCAATGCCGCAGTACCTGCAAGACATTCAGCACAATACTTACAGGTTTGCAGAGTGCAAAAGTCCTTCGCAGGTAATTTACTTCTTCTGGAAACCCTAGATTCATGGTTCCAACATTTATCACAACAGTAGTGCACAAGCTCAGAGGAACTCGGTGCATTTCCTGTCTGCTTAGGACGTCTGAGTAAGGCAATTAATTGCAGTGCAGACTGCACGAACTGAACATACACAGATCTAAGTTGCCAGGACCGGGGTCCTGCACAAGCTACCTCTTTTACTGTGACACTTCATAACTTGATGAATTGCACTAACATCAACCCTGTGGATTAAGTCTGTTTTACAAACTATGACAAATCTATAACTGCTCCATTTTAGAGTATTTTTAATGGTTATCTTTGTTATTTCTACAGAGATCCATACTTCAAAAAGTTTCAGATTTTAGTCTATTTCTACCTTTCTATCTTTGAGTTCTATTTTATGACAGTAGTTTTTAAAAGCCCACTCAATTTCATTTTAAACTAGGAGTGAAATGCTCTGGTCATACTCTAAAACTACATATTTTTATCAAACAAGCATAGCCTTTTTTTAAAAAATAATGTTTCCCAGAACCTATTTTTCTATGGATGAGCTCATCACAGTTTCAAAGGTGCTAACAATTGTACAATCACAGTTTAAACTTCACTGATTTATAGTGACAAGAAAAAGTATGATTTATGTTCTGCATAATACAATGGCTAAGAGCAGAATAGATTATTGGGAGTATATGTTATTACGTGTTTTTAAAAATATCTTGTGGCATCACTAAAGAGAAAAAAAATTGCCACTATGAATTTAACCAGGGAAACAACAGTCTTTTATTACCCTACATTTTCTATTTTTCATGCTGCCGACTTTAGTATGAATCACAATGGATCATTTCAGCTGGTTAGTTAAAGATGTTAAACAAATAAAATTCAGAGAAGGAAATGTGGGAGTTAGTATACTACTAATATTCAAATGATCTAACAGTGATTTTTACAGTGCATGTATAAAACCATCTTATTTAAAGATAAATATGCTAGAAGATAATAGATAATTATGGCTTCATTGAATAAAACAGAAATTCTTTTTGTAAAAATACCAAAGCAATATGTTAAAAGGATTAATATAGCCTCTTTAAAAAAATATGAAACACGTTCCTGCATTTAAAAACTATTCAGTAAGCCAAATAGCCAAGACTGAGACAGATTTAGCAAGACTTTCAACACAAGGTATAGAATGAGTTCCCCCCCCCCCCGGTTTTCTCTGGTGCAGAAACTGAGCCAGGGCTCTTTCTATGAGTCCTACATATTGTTACTCAGGTTTACGATTACATGACCTGGTCACTGGCTGCCTTGGAAGAGTGAGCAAAACATTCTCTTTATGAATTGCATTTATGTGTAGTTTATTCTTATCATTTTCCTCCTGAGGCAGAAATTTGGACTTGTATATTTAATAATATATGTGAGTTTAATTATATATTGGCAAAAGAAAAAGAAGAGGCTTAAATAAAATTAATCAACATGAGGGTAGGTAATCAAACTTTAATT